GCTGTGTTCAGTGACCAGCTCAGGTCAGATGTCACCTGCAGGCCCAGGAACTTGTGACTGTCAGCCCTCTCCACCTCAGTCCCTTTGATGGTCAGAGGCAGCAGAGGGGAGGGGTTCTTCCTGAAGTCTACTATTATTTCTTTTGTCTTGTTTATGTCGAGGATGAGGTCATTCTCCTCACCATAAACAAGAATGTTGTTCACCAAGCTTCTGTAACCTGACTCGTCTCCTCCCTTGATGAGGCCCAGAATGGTGGTGTCATCAGCATATTTAATGATGATGGTGTTGTCATGGTTGGAGACACAGTCGTGGGGGTACAGGGTGAAGAGTTTGGGGCTGAGACAGCAGCCCTGCAGTGAGCCTGTGCTGATTGTGAGCTCAGCAGACTTTACACATCCTAAATATTTTTAGCGTGTGTTTTGGGGCTTTCTTAATAAACACATTTCTGAGCACAGCAGGCCATCCACAGACTGACGGGTCATCGGCAGGCTTACAACGACTGCATGTGAAAGAAAGGTTTCTTTTGGCAAAATGTGAATAAAATTGACCCATCTTACCACTCACAGTAAAATGTTATATGAACGTCCTACTAAAGAACTAGGAAATGTTTCTTCCCATACTGTACAATAACCTATGATACTCCTTTTCTCTTTGTCTTCTAGTCAATGAAAAATGTTGATGTGGATGATGGCTCACACCTGCATCTGCAGCTAGGCCCATACTTCAATGATGGGCAGCGGCGGGTGGACTACGTGCTGGCATACCACATCGAGAAGCCCATCAGCATCCGACGCCAGTCATCCAGGTTTACTGACAGCAACTGTATGGGACGGTTTTGGCGCAGTCTGAGCAGAAGAGGCAGCCGAGCCCCGATGCAGCGACAAGAAGACCCAGAGATCACTGCCCAGGGGCACGAGACTGACTATCATGAAAATGACAAGCGTTTCAATCGAGAAGAGTTTGAGAAAAACCTGGAGGAGACTGGGCTGGAACTAGAAAGAGATGAAAAGGTGAGAAATGGGGCAACTAACCATCTTGCTACTGTTGCTAAGCCTGGCAGTCTGCGGTGTTCTAGCAGTGCAGCTATGCATTTTACTGTGATAACATTGGAAAACGTACCACTTGAAATTTGAAACATTTTTAAACAGTGTCTCTTGGCTTAAAGGTTGAGGCCTCATGACCCAGGAAAGTCCTGGCCAGTTAGTGATTCATGTTGAAGACATGCACTTAAAGAAACAGCATTGTTCTTGTATTGCAGTTTAGTGCTGGTTAGTCATAGTATTTGAAGTAGGCCTATTATAGGGGAAAATGTAATTAACCGTAGGTGTTATTTTCATTCTCACATAACCCTGTTTGGCTGCTTAGCTTACATACGTGTTCATATTTTGGTTTTTACCTTTAACACTTTAAGAGAAAAAACTGTTAGGATAAGAATTAACCATCTTTATATTTGCCAGTAAATGTTTTGCAAATATTATCCTATCTTGGCTAACAAGTTTGGTTGGAGTTGCTGGAATGTTAATCTCACCAAACCCTAAAACAGCAATTGCACAACACAGCCACTAATATTAGCCAAAACCCTGCAAAGCACCCACACAGTGAAAAAGTGCTCCACAGTGGCTCTGCTGGTTGTGAACAGGATTTTCACAGCACAAACTAATAATGTGCTCCTTGGTCGAATGTTTGCCACTTACATTTCCACGAATAAACACACTGTTGAAGTTATTAGTAATGCCTGTTGGCTTTTTGCTACAAAAAGACACTTTCCTCCAAACTCTTAAAATACTGAATATAACCACATGCAAACAGTTTTGGGATTTAGAGAAACCCAATCACTGTTTCCTGAGTCAGTTGAAAAACAGGGAGCAGGAGATAAAAGGTCTAACATGCAGCAATTAGGGCAGATCCAGAAAGTGCTGTACAAAGAATGTAATGGCACAACAAAATATATAGGAGACACAATACCAACAATAACAGGCCAGCAGCAGGAGACTCACAAAATTACAGACAGAACAACAAGACAAAAGATTAGTGAGCTGAGAAGGCCAGAAAATGAAAATGTGTCATAGGTTTGGATTTAAAAACAGAGATGGAGGGTGCACAGGTCAAAGGGCAGCTGGTTCCACAGGTGTGGTGCAGTGAGAGCAAAGGCTCTATCCCCTGTTACATTGAGCTGTGACCATCTAAAAGACATGGGGTGTGAATACAAATGGGTAATGTCTCTGATGTAGGATGGGGCCTGCTCACTGAGAGCCTTAAAACAGCCAGGAGGATCTGGACAGGACAGGAATCTAGTGAAGAGAGGACAGACCTGGGCTAATGTGATCATGTTTTTACTAAAAGCCAACGGTCTTGCCACTGCATTCAGGGCCATCTGCAAGCAAGTTAGTAAGGTCTGAGGAAGACCTAGGGACAGGGAGTTGCACTAGTTCAATTGTGATGTAATAAAATTGTGAATGGTTTTTACCAAAACTTGAAAAGACAGAGAAGATTTAAGTTTGGAAAGGATCCTTAACTGGTAGAAGCTAAAGTATGTTTAATGACAAAGCTGATTTGTTTGTTAAGGCAGAGGTCAAGGAAAACACTCAGATTTTTTGTGGTCACATATGGGGTGAGGTAGCCTAATTTGCTGGCAAGACAGCTTCTGGACATGGAAGAACCAAAGATGATTACTTCAGTTTAAAATCAATATGTCTGCCCTCTTGACTTAATAGATGGGGGCTAAGTCATGAGAACAAGTGGGAATGATTCATTATTTTAAAGTTTGTTATCTTTGAAGTTGTGTGATGCTGTGCATGTGCTATAGGCAACAGAAGGTGCTCAGTGCATTGCCCAAGTGTTCAGTAGTGTATGTGTGTGTTAAGGACTGCAGATGATTATATAAAAAGCTACAAATTTAAAAATATCTCCTCTTATCAGGTCATCAGTATTTTTTACCGGAAATGTTTGAATGTTAGAAGTTCACTTATATCATGTTTTTACAATTATTAATAAGAAAAATACAGGAACAAATCATTATCACATATTTTAAATGAAACAAATTTTACAAAATCTTATTGTTTATAGACTCAGCAAAAGGCACAGTTAAGATTTTAGTTTGTGTGTAACCCCGTGGGTAGATGTTATGTTTACATTTTAAGAATATAATACAATTTAAAATAAATGTTTATCTAAGCTGGTCAACTGATGCTTGACAGATTAATATGTATGTTTTTCTGTCTTATCACATCTAAACATGAATGTTTGCTAGGCTATGTTCCTGGTAACTCTTGTGTCACCGCTGTGTATTTGCTACGTAAGTGGACCAGTGGATACATGGACATTTGTTACTTCCACCAAAGAGGTTATGTTTTTGGTTCTGTGTGTATTGGTTAGCCGGACTGGATGAAAGAAATAACTGGATGGATCATCATCACACTTGGTACAGACATTGGTGGGGACCAACCCTAGAAGTGATTAGATTTTGGCTGAAAAAGGTCAACATCACAAAAAACTTCAAAATTCTAATCTTTAACATGGGGCAAAATTAAAAAAAAATTACTCTGTCAATAGTTATCAAAATCATTTTTGTTTGAAATTTAACACCCATATGTAGGGTGGCAATGTCTGTCATCTTTTGTTGACAAAGTTTTATCCGGATCAGATCCAGATTCCATAGGCACTAATGTTAACTTGTCGTCAGTGTTAGGGAAACTACTTTGAAAACGTAACATTGCAAACTATTACTTCACATTGGAAGAATTTAAACTACAGCAAAACTACTCTAATGAGAAATGTAGTTTGGTAAACTGAAGTGACTTAGAAGAAGTAGTTTGTAAAAAAATGATCAACAGTGTACATGTGATACAAAATTATAACATAATAGAAAACTCACATGCCAGCAAAAATTGCCACTCAGTTGAATATATTTACCTGACACATAAACCCTGTGATAAACAAAACAATCCCATCTGGGCTCTTCACAATGATATTATACATTTCTTGTAAACAAATTATATACAGTAGGTACACCTTGACCATTTGACTAACTTTACCACTGAGTGAGTGCCCAGTCTACTTTTGTGGCACATGTACTTGGTGTCAGATTTGAACCTGCATATGTGGACCCTTCACAGCCATGCAAAAACCTGACTCTCATTTAAAATTTTATTAACCCTATAAAACCATTTGTATCATATTTGATATGTGAGGTTTCTGAGCGAAAAAAATCTCCAAAAATGCCCCATGTATCAAATGCGATACAAAAGAAATAAAAATAAAAGGTTTAATAAACATCTCAGTTGCAAAAAATTAGAATGTTCTGGCTATTTTTTGATGTGTCAGGCTTTACAGAGTTAAACTCAAGACTAATTATTGAGGGAATCAAGAAAGTTTCCAAAAATATATAAAATTTGAGTAAAAAGTTATCAGCATGGCAAGGTAATAACAACTTATTACAATGAATGAGAGCAAAAGAGAATTTGTCTTATTTATTCATGTATTTCCTTCTGTATAAAATCAACAGATAACAGTGAAGTCTTCTTTTCTTTTTCATAACATAAAATTAAACAGAAAATTACAGTTCTAGTAAAAGAAACGTCATACAATAAAACTGGTTGAATTTACATTGCTTATAGTGTTTATGCAACAGCTGTAACAATAAACTAATGTTACATTTAGGTTACAGTTACCTGTATTTCTACTTTATCATTATGTTTCCACAGACAAACACAACCACTGTTCCCAAATATAAATTGAGATGACAGTTTTATTAGGCAGCAAAATTATTTACTGAAAATCCATAACAAAATAGCAATAAATAAGTCAAAAGCGCAATTAAATTGAATTTTACTAACCAGTTTGGTAAACCTATTAAATAACTAATCACTAAGAATTTCCTTTGGAGAGACTTGGCACCGTCCAGCCTCCATATATTCATACTAAAGTTGTAACACAGGATTAAATTTTATTTCCTATTTATTATGTAAATAATACTACATTTGATATGTTTGCTTGTTGTTTCAGCTTTATATAACAGTATCTCTGATGTATCATTTTCCTGCTTCAGGACCAAATTTTACAATTTATTAACCTTTGCTTGTAATCAAATCAATCAGAGCAAACCATTTGAACATTTTATATTGAAATCTATATGTCTCATGATATACTGTGTACTCTAAGTCCGCTAGTCTGAAGTGGCTGTTATCTATTTCTATATCCAGACAGGTCAGTGTGCCAAGCTGAAGGGTGTGAATTGAGTCTGGCAGTGTAGGAGTGCTTTTACATAACAGTAGAGGCTGCAGAGACAATCTTATTTGTGGCAGTAAAGAGAAGAGTTTGTAGTGAAGTGCCTCTACAAGACAGCTGTGCAGCAAATCTGACAGAAATGCAACATGATGCCCTGCCAGCTGGAATATTTGTTTCCGTATGACAACCCAGCATGCACTGCTTATAACATGAACTGTCCCACGTATCTGCAATGGGTACACTGAGTAAACATCTAATTAAAACTTTGGTTGTATTTCAGAGTCAGATCCCTGGAATAGGCTTCCTGAAGATACATGCTCCATGGAATGTTCTGTGTCGAGAGGCTGAGTTCCTGAAACTCAAAATGCCAACAAAGAAGGTACTCTACCCATCAGTGTATTGTCCATTTGTCAAAGGCATATTTACTGTACCCTTTCTTGCCCTGAGGCTGATTGGACAAGCTGCAGTGCTGAGTGGTGTATGTTTCCTGTTGCTTTGTCATTTGTATGGATGCAGTGTTATAACAGCCCAGTGAGGCTATTCTGTGGTGACAGCTCTTACAAAACTTGTAAAGACTTGTAAATGCATTAAATACCATCAAACATTTGTCAAGTGCCATAATGCACAATCTCATCTGTATTTACAGTGCAGCAGAATCCTCACTACAGTCTACTTTACACATAGGTGTAGCAGAAATGACTACAATTTACAAATTTTAAATGTAATATTTAATACCTCATAATGATCAGGGCACAAAGTCTTTTATAGTGGACTACACTCTAATAATAAACAATCATCTGATGTGTTTAAGCGCACAGTTCATTGATCCAGAATACAAGAGACAAAAGATGACAACAAATAGCCAGTTCTAATGTAAATAAGCTTATTGACCAATGTTGTTAGGAAACGCTCGAACACAGAGTGAGCGAGCGGACAAAAAACGGACCCAGGTGGCTGGCTTCGGTGCAAGCAGTGAGGTTTATTTACAGTGAAGGTTAGTGAAGTACAGTATATACAGGAGGAGTAGTGAGGTAGATGACCGGGTGTTGATCAGTGGCAGCAGAAAAACAGTCAGTGGTATGATGGATGATGACGGGCTTTTGGTTACGAGATCCCGGCCGATAAGACAGGGTGAATTGGAAACGGTCGAAGAATAAGGCCCACCTCGCTTGTCGGGGGTTTAGTCTTTTGGCCGACTGGAGGTAGGCCAAGTTTTTGTGATCGGTCCAGACCAAAAATGGTTGGTCGGCACCTTCAAGAAGCATTCTTCTAGGGCCAATTTGACGGCTAGGAGTTCCTTGTTCCCCACGTCATAATTTTGTTCGGCCGGGGTCAACCGCCTCGAGTAATAAGCACAGGGGTGCAAGGTGTGGTCTTCCCCGGACCACTGAGAGAGGACCGCTCCCACCCCAGTGTCGGACATGTCCACCTCGACCACGAACTGCCGTGAGGGGTCAGGTTGGAGGAGTACGGGGGCTGTGGTGAACCGGTATTTGAGGGTTTGGAAGGCCTGCTTCGCTGTCCTGGACCATGCAAACTTCACCTCGGTGGACATGAGCTGAGTGAGAGGGGCTGTGACAGTGCTGTAATTTTTGATGAAACGGCGGTAGAAGTTTGCAAAGCCCAGGAAGTGTTGTAGGTCCTTCACACAGGTGGGAGTAGGCCAATTGACTCTGTTGTGGCTGATAATCTCGCTGCTTATGGGTTAGCTGGTTTCAGTGAGAGTTTCAGGTCTACATATATATATATATTTGCAGATTTTGTCTTGCCACCCAGACAGACATACAAACATCAGATGCCGTCACTGGTAGTTTTGAGATTAGAACCAAAGGTCTGCATGATACCCTCATTTAAGAAATACAGAATAATGACAGTGTTAGGAAACGCTCAAACACAGAGTGAGCGAGCGGACAAAAAAATGGACCCAGGTGACTGGCTTCGGTGCAAGCAGTGAGGTTTATTTACAGTGAAGGTTAGTGAAGTCTATACAGGAGGAGTAGTGAGGTAGATGACCGGATCAGTGCAGCAGAAAAACAGTCAGTGGTATGATGGATGATGACGGGCCAGGCTGTGGACGTAGAGGTCACTCCTGGGCTGGTCGAGGTGGAGGTGATGATGGCTGTAATCAGAAGAGCATGGATAAACAGGGCAAGGGAGCATCGACCTGTGAGGCGGTGGCTGGTGGTGTTGAATGAATCCATGGGGTCTAGAGGAGAGGTCCGAAGAGGAAGAAGACACTAGAGACTGCAGGGCAGGATAAAGACTAGGGAATTAACAAGGACAAGAGAGAAACAGTGAAACTCTTAGCATTTACAACACAAAAACAAAATAACAACCACTGGCCAAAAAAAGCGGGGGGGTATGTTATTCATGAGGAAAACTTCTGTTGACTCTGAGAGAAAAAGAGAAAAAAAAAAACATCAGCACCTTTTTAGTCATGCAAAAAAAAATGTGTTGAATAGTGCAAGCAGTGCAAGGGCTAGGCTAGTGTGAGGAAAAAGAATAGAGGAAGGTGTAGCCGGGCAAACCTGACAAATGTACAAGAAGGTAGAGGAGAATCTGTACTGGAAAATGGATGAGACAATACATGGTGAACAAAGGGATGAAAAACAACATGAGGTTGATGAATAAATGACTCAGCTAAGGATTAGCCATGGTGGAGAAATGATTTCAATTACGCTTAAATCAAATAATATTTTTGGATATAAACCTTGTGATTTAATTGAAAATGTGGGGAGAAAATTAATTATAAGTTTCTGGAGCTTATGTGCTTTTATAGGCTCAGCTACAGCTTTATGGGATATCAACTATGTAGGGCTTATCTGTTAGTGGATAGCAGGGTTGGATCACAGTGGAACCACATGGCAGGGAAAAAGAGTGACTTGTTTTCAGATCAGGTCCAGAGTGGAGAATAGTGTCAAAATCCCAAGACCCCTCTTGGGCTGCAAGCTCGGAAGGCATCCATTGTCATCAGTTGGTTTATCTCCTCATTTTGTGATGCCTTTTCCAGTCTTGGCGCTGAGTCTCAGCAGTCTTGGTTTAGATTCTGGCTGAGCCGAAGGTCCGTTTTTTGTGCGTAGCATTTTAGAGATGTCTCAGAGAAAATCGTGTCCAGCTTGATTTGATCGCCACGGGACTGTTCTGAAAACATCTTTGCAAGTTAACAAACAATTTGGTTGGAGTAAAACTTCCCTTGACTACAAAACCTCCTTGGCTGAAAAACTGTTCGAATCTGGCACACTGAAACTTAAGATTAGCTTGTTTCACCTGTTCATAACTAAAAGAAAACTCAAAGTAACATTAACAGCTACTGAAAACACTTCTTGTAATGATGCGAGTATATGATTTTTGATAAAAAGAAGGAAAAAACACACAGACAAGAGACGTGGACAAGCACACACTCTGAGAAACAACTTCTGAGTGAGACATCAAGGCTGGAGCACATAACAGCGGGGTGCAAGATGCTAGCAGGCAGGGCATACATGGAATGCCATAACCAAGTGGCTGGCATAGTGTACAGAAACATCTGTGCCGAGTACAGGCTGGAAGTCCCAAAGTCAAAATGGGATACACCTCCAAAGGTGGTTGAGAATGACCAAGCTAAGATCCTGTGGGACTTCCAGATACAAACTGACAAACTGGTAATGGCCAACCAACCGGACATAGTAGTGGTGGACAAACAGAAGAAGAAGGC